GACTAACTGGGGATGAGGGGACATATTTGTGACAATTTTTTTTACTTCCTCTTGGCCCCCAGCTGTGACAGGTTTTGATAACAGGAGAAACAATAAAGAGATAAATGATAAATAGCCGTTGGTGTCTGGATTCTAGTTCTGGCCTGAACTATAGACCCATTAGAATCCTGCAGGCCTGACATTGTATGTAGCCTCAGCATAAGCCTTTGTCCATTCAGAAAAATGAAAAGTGCAAGACTGTCTCAGTTTGCTAGATGCCAATATTTTCATAGAGGAGCCCCTTGAGGTCATCAGATTGTGAATGAAAAAGTGGTGATGCAATAAACCTGATGCACTTGGAAGGCACCTGGCAGACATGACCAGCTCAGTGGCCAAAAGTTAACACACAGGCCCAGCCAGCGTGGCTCAGTGGTTGAGCATAGACCTAGGAACCAGGAGGTCATAGTTCGATTCTCAAGCAGGGCACATGCCCGGGTTGCAGGCTCGATCCCCAGTGGGGGTTGTGCAGGAGGCAGCCGATCAACGATTCTCTCTCATCATTGATGTTCTATCTATCCCTCTCCCTCTCTGAAGTCAATTTTTAAAATATACATATATACGTGTGTGTGTGTGTGTGTGTGTGTGTGTGTGTGTGTGTAAAGTTGCCACACAGGATGGTCTGATCACAAATTCCAAACTGGGAAGGTCATAGCTGGTAGTCACATCTTAGGCCTATATCTTCCTTAGCAAAGGTCAATCTAAACGTGAGCTTTGTCTTTTTAATATTTTAATTTTTACCAGAGGACATGTTTCCATCAACTTCTAGAGAAAAGAAGGGAGAGACAGAAATATTGATTGCTCACACACACACATGCATCCCATTTGGGGACTGAACCCCCAACCTAGGTACATGTCCTGACCTGGAATTGAACCTGCAGCATTTGGTGTATGGAATGATGCTCCAACCAACTGACCCACTCAGCCAGGGCTGTCTATTTAAGATAACATACCTTTGTTTTGTTTGTTTGTTTGTTTGTTTTTAATTTAATTGATTTTTAGAGACAGGAAGGGAGAGGGAGAAAAACATCCCATCAATGGGCTGCCTCCCGCACACCCCTTACCAGGGATTGAGTCAGCAACCAGAGCATGTGCCCTGACCGGGAATCGAACCAGCAGCCTTTTGGTGCATGGGAGGTTGCCCCACTAACTGAGCCACACTGGCCAGGGCGGATAACATACCTTTGAAATGTCAGAGTAATTTTCTTTTCCTACCTCTGGGAGGTGCAGTCACAGTCCCCAGACACAGGACCAGAGCATGAAACGCGTTCCTTGCATACTGTGTCTAGGTGCTATAAATCTTAGATATTAACTGTCCTGTGCCCACCCATGTAAACGAGTGTGTGTCTCCCCACTTTGCCTTTTACCCAATACTAGATATTTCCCTGCTATGCTTGCTCCTTAGTCTACCACCCGTGGGTTTCATGCACCTTCTTTACGTCTTTGATTTTAACGTATAAAATAAGCTGCAAAACTGCCATTCCAGAGCATTTGAGGACTTGCTTCCTGGTGTATGTCCTCAGTTTGGCTCAAATAAACTGAAGTTCTTTACAGGTTTGGATGTTTTTTGTTGACAAGATTTTGGTAGGCCTATTTAATAGTAGTGACCAGAGCTGATGGGGTCCCTCTTGAAGAGAAATAGCTATATGACCAGATGTTCTCATACTAAAGGCTGCTTCTCTTTAGCTAGCAGCATTTTAAAAATGTTCCCACTGTTTTAGTGACAGGAGATTATTTTTCATTTTGTAGACTGACCACAAGTCTTAGAGATGATTTTACAAGAAAACTAGCTTTTTTTTTTTAAGGGAAAATGACTGCTTCAGCGGTTCTCAACCTGTGGGTCGTGACCCTTTCACAGGGGTCGCCTAAGACTGTCGGAAAACACATATAATTACATACTGTTTTTGTGATTAATCACTATGCTTTAATTATGTTCAATTTGTAACAATGAAATTGGGGGTCACCACAACATGAGGAACTGTATTAAAGGGTCGCGGCATTAGGAAAGTTGAGAACCACTGGCAGATGATTTGTACCTAAAGAGTGTGGGGAGGGAAAATAACTTTTACACTTCTAATTTCTGACTTGTTTAATAAATTGAATGAGATTATTAGGAGGAAATAATCTTCGGGTCTGTGAGAATATGGGACCTGAGGATAAATCAGGCAGTTAAGGCCCACATGCCCCAGACCACAAGCCCACCAGGGCAGAGGGAGGCAGGAGTCTGGGACTTCAAATGGAAAGTAGGCAATTCACAGGTAGATGAGAAAGAGCAAACATTTGGTAAACAAATTCTTGCCTGGCCACCTAGAAACAATGGGAGGCAGAGGGGAGTCTAACAGACTTGCCATTCTTAGCTCTTATGACCCTAAGGTGACAGTTTCCTCTCTGTAAGCAGGTTTTCTGTCTCTGAATTCCTTTAGGCAGGCAGGGGGAGGTAAAAGACTCTTCTGGAGTCATTTTTGAAAAATATTTTTCTATTGATTTCAGAGAGGAAGGGAGACGGGGGCGGGGGCGGGGGGAGAGAGAAACATCAATGATGAGAGAGAATCACTGATCAGCTGCCTTCTGCACTACGCCCCACACTAGGGATGGAGCCCGAAACCCGGCATGTGCCCTGACCCGGAATCATATCCTGATCTCCTGGTTCACAGGTCGACGCTCAACCACTGAGCCATGCCGGCTGGGCTTGAGTCATTTCTTAAAAATAATCAGCTTAAAATCATATCCCCAAAAGGCATATTTTGGGTGGCAAAACTCTGCTTCATTTCAGGAGTTAGAGGATGTGTTTATGAAATTCCTCAACTCAGGAAATATTTCAGTCAGTTCCCTGGGAGATAGCTCACTGCCTTGCCCCCCACCCCCACCCTCATTAAGCCCCCATCATCACCTGAGAAATGTGGGTCAGAGGATACCTGGAATCATGTATCTAAGAAAGGATGTAGAAAATTGCACAATGGCAATTACATATATGGATGGATTGAGGCCACACATTAAACCTGACGCGCTCAGGGAAGGCCTGTGTGGTGGCCTCACAAACTCAGAGACCTGACGTAATCACAAAGGATGGTCTGAAATTAAAACTTTTTAACTTGCCCTAACCAGTTTGGCTCAGTGGATAGAGCGTCGGCCTGAGGACTGAAAGGTCCCAGGTTCGATTCGGGTCAAGGGCATGTACCTTGGTTGCAGGCACATCCCCAGTGGGGGGTGTGCAGGAGGCAGCTGATCAGTGTTGCCCATCGATGTTTCTAACTCTCTATCCCTTTCCCTTCCTCTCTGTAAAAAATCAATAAAATATATTAATAAATAAATAAATAAAAATTCTTCTTAAAAAAACTTTTTAACTAAAGGCAGTTTATTATGGTGGGTAGCCATGTCCCTGACAAAGTTCCATTTTCACCTTCATTAGGCCTTGTCTGTTGTCTCTTGCATCTAGATAACACACCGTTGGAAGGTCAAAGTAATTTTCTTTCCCCTCCAACCCTCAAAGCATGGAACCAGAGTGGAAACCACAAATCCCCTCGTTGTTACTGAGGTAATTGTTGACTATTAACTATCCTGTACCCCTTACCCAAAAGAAGTGCGTGTCTATCATTTTACTTTTTATTCGATCCCAAAGGTTTCCTCATTTTGCTTTCTCTTGCCTCCCTAACTTATCACCAATGTCTTCTCTTCTGACTGTCATGCATAAAATAAGATGCAAAACTGCCATTCTCTGGAGCATGTTCTCAATTCATAGAAATTTTGCTTCTGGCAATTGTCTGACAGTTTGGCTCAAATCAACTCACAGAACTTCTCTGCAGGCCTGAATGTTTCTTACGTTGACACATAACTTTTGTCGATCTTATAGTTGCGTATCTATAAATTAGGCAATACCATCTATCGCCTAGGCCCTAGGATTATGGCGAGGACTGTATGAGATGGACCTAGAACACATGACAGGCCCTGGATTTCCGTCACTCCCGTAACAAGTATTTACTGAGCTACTGTGACTGGGGCTGTGACTGACGGGTGGGGGGATGAATAGAAGGAGAAAACCTGGGCACAAGGGCGGGACTTCAAGGGGAAGGCCTCCCAGCCCCGTCCACGTGCTCCCACCGGCTCCTTGACAGCAGCCCAGAGCGCTTGACACGCCGGATATGACGTCACCACCCGAGGTTCCCAGAACCAGGCGGTGGGACCGGAAGTGAACCCGGGGGGCTGGGGGTGTTCCAGACTGACCGGATGTGGGCCCGGGCCGGCTCCCCAGCCCCAGTTCCCGGGAGCTGGTCGAGGGGAGAGCGAGGAAGGGGGGCGGCGGGGCGGGGCCGCT